TGAGCAACCCAACGATGATCCCGACGATTAAACATGTGTTTTCTATCCTTAAACTCCGGGCGAATCACATTGAGGGCAATGTGAATTTTAAGTTTGGGGGTGGTTGATTACTTGTTTTCATTTATGTGCGCTTTATCTGTGTTTTTTTTATTTATTTTGCATGCTTTAGTTTTTGTTTTAATTGCCGTTTTATTATTTTCGTTTTATAAAAAACGAAAAAAAAAAATAAAAAAATAAAAAAAAAAAAAAATATTTTTCGATGCATCGATGAACTATGATGATGGTAGATGGTCAATGTTTGATGATGAGACTACTTGTTTTATGTTGATAAGGAGTATGTATTTGTTTAGCTTTCGATTCAACGGAACGTAGAAGTGAATTATTGCTAGGAATCACACCTTGTGCTTTGCTTTGGTTGAATGTTTTGCATTTTAAATTTGGAATTTATTTGTGCTCAATCATGCTTTGTTCGGTTTTAAATCTCACCTTAGGACATTTACGATACGAAGTGTTGGTAGTAAGTAATTTGGGATATGATTTGGGCCTTCTTTGAACCGTTTGAGCCTTTCAAGCCTACCATTTTTGTCAAATTATCCTTAGAACCTTGATTTGAGCCTCAGAGAAAAGGTGTTCTTTCTTTTAGCCAATATGTAGAAGGTAGAAAAAGTGGAGATTTTTGAATAATTATCCCTTGGAGGTCGATCGAAAATTCTTATAAAATCTTTCTTCTTCTTCGAAAAAAAAAAAAAAAAAAAAGAAAAAAAAACTATGGATATATATATGTGCATCTTTATATATATATCTAAATTCTTCGATTCAAAAAAAAAAAAAAAAAAAAAAAAGAAGAAGAAGAACAGATTAGAAGGGAGAAATAAGGACTAGTGTTGAAGTGTGTTGAAAACTCGATCCATTGACTCAAAAGCAAAAGTGTTGACGTGTGAATTTTGGAGAACCGAGTTTATTTAAGTCCCTAGAGGTGAATTCATTGTTTCAACGCCTATCTTTCAATTTTTGGCGTAATCACCTCAATTCAAGAAAATTAGCCACACATTCCCATATTACCTACCTCGGACCAAAGAGCCTAACAATTGAAAGCCACAAAGTCCCAATGATCCCAAGAGCTTATTGTTCAATATTAGTTGAGTAGAATAATTTGGTGAGTATTTGGAGTCAAATATATGCATGTAAGTATAAATTCTTTCTATCTTTAACTTGCAAATATTGGATACTTGAAGCAATTGTATGATTTGTGGTTTTTGGTAATAATGAGTGACTAAGTGCCGTTGAATGTTAAGCTTGCGAATACCTATGAATTGTCATCATAATTGCAAGTTCTGAAAACGCGAAGTTGACCCATCGATCTATGTAAGGAGATGTATGGTTTTGTTTTGTGCTATTAATTTGATTTTACTTGAGGACAAGCAAAAGTTCAAGTTTGGGGGTGTGTTAAGTGTATATTTATACACTTAATTGTACCTTTTAATTGGAGCTTTTGATGTGTTTTTACGATAATTGGTGCTTAATATGGCTATTATTTGTATTTTAGGTGCAAATTGAAGAATTGGCAACTTTTGGGGTGAAAACTGCAAATTCAGAGAAAAAGTGGGCCAAAAGTGAAAAAATCAGAAATCTGGAGAATTAAAGACCGCACGGCCGTGCGGATTTTAGTTCAAAATCTCACACGGCCGTCCGGGTGGACGTGATGGCGCAGTGAAGGGAACTCAATTATACAAGGAAACCCGCCCTATTAGACTTTTGCACCCTATTTAAAGGCCACAAGCACACAATTAGACGGATCTTAAATCTTTTACCTTTTATTTTTATTTGGAGTTTTTATCGTTTCTACACGCAATCGAGGAGCAAGAGAACGAAGACGAAGACTTGACGAATCTTCATCCTAGTTTCCTTTTTCCTTTTCTTTTCTGATTTTTATGAATTTCCGTATTTTTATTATGCTTTTCGTTACGAACATGAGTAGCTAAGTTTTTATTCTAGGATTTTATTGGAACCCTATGTGGTGATTCGAACCTATTTTTCTACTTTTATGCAAGTTTAATTCTTCGATTATTTCTTCTATTTTGATCGTATTTAGTGCATGAGCGTAGCTAACTTATGTTGCTATTTGTTATTGTTAGAATTGATTGACAGATCGTTTTAATAATTAGAACAGGGATAGAAGAGCCTTCGAGTAGTTTTTCACCGAATGCGTGTGTTGATTGCATGTATTATCGTAGACATACAGATAATACCTTAGGTAGCCGTTTACGAGACTTGCTATTTAATGCTTTATTTATACTAGGTTTGCATAGACATATAGTAAATCTTTTATGAATAATAGGTTTATAGCGCAGCGACAGCTGGTTATGAATAATTTCGTGTCTTGGGTTAATAATCGAGAATCGTAACTTGCATGATAGGAGATTAATTGGTTGAAGAATTATCGCATAGGGGGAAGATAAAATCCTAGATCCGTTTTATATTGATATTTTCTCGTGATTATTTGCTTTCTTAATTAGTTTAATTGTTTAATTGATTAAATTGACAACCCTGCGTAGGCTGGATAAAAATCACAATTGTTAGGATTTGGTACTTAGGATTAAATAATTTGCGTATTCCCTGTGGGATCGACATCCGACTCTCACGAGTCTACTTTACTACTTGTTTGCGATACGTACACTTGCGTGTTGGTATTTAGCACCCAACAATAGGCTCGGCAGCGGCGGCTGCGGTGGCTCTTTGAAAAATTCATCGTCGTCCTCTTCCTCTTCCTCCGGCGATAGGCTCGGCAGCGGCAACGGCGGTGATGGCGGTGGTGGCATTGGCAGTGATGGGCGGCGGTCCCTTCGGCTTTTGTGATGGCGTTGACGTCGTCCCTGACTTTGTTCGAGCAATTTCTGAAAATCAATCCGTAATCTCTCTACGGATTTCTCCAATCGCTCTAACCGTCTTGTTTCGGACATCATGATTTTCACAAAGTTTTGATGTGATCTCAACTTTGCTCCAGCTTAGCTTTGATGTAATCGCTGCCTTGCTAACGAAGCGTTGGTGTTAATCGCAACTTCGCTCTGATACCAATTGATGCGATCTCTCGAGTATCATAAATATTTCCTACGAAACGTAAGATCTATTCTTTAATATTTTTCTCTTCATTATCAAACCCTAGCACAAGACGACTATTTAAAGATAATAAAACCCTAGAATCATAATCTCACTAGGAAAGATAATTACCTAAACTAATAAAATACTTAATATATATCCTAAATACTAAACTCACGGCTATCTATATAAACCTAAACAAACTATTATAATTAATTAATAATAAAAATAAACAAGAGTTATCATAAATATTTCCTACGAAACGTAAGATCTATTCTTTAATATTTTTCTCTTCATTATAAAACCCTAGCACAATACGACTATTTAAAGAGAATAAAACCCTAGAATCCTAATCTAACTAGGAAAGATAATTACCTAAACTAATAAAATACTTAATATCTATCTTATAATCATTAAGCCTAGAGCTCTAACTAAATTAATACTTAAATAATATATATTAAATAATTAAATAATAACTAATGAATAAATATACGATATATTAAATATATATCGTATCAAACCACCCCTCTTGAAATGAACCTTGTCCTCAAGGTTTGAGTTAATTTGATCCCTCTCCTTTGCGTTTCCACCTATGTTTGACTTCATTGACTTGTTTCCCGATTGACTCCGAAAAACACGATGAACGACCGAGCTTTTTAATACATTGTTCATGCTGATCCAACGAAATTCCAAAGGCTACTTTAGCGAAAATATTCAATCTTTTTCCCGTTAAATAAAATTTTTCAATCGTCTTTGTAGATTTTGTCTCCTCCAAACTGACCATCGGTTCTTCGTCTCCTTTCTTTTGAACACCATGGAAATCTCCCAATATCCATAGTAACTCTTCGCTCTCCTCTCTGGTTAATTTCTCGTCTTCGTCCCACTTTATCTCGGTTGACTCCGATTCTTCTTCTTTCGGCTCTTCGTCCCACTTCATCTCAGTTGAATCCGATTCCTCTTCTTCTGGCGAACTCACAAAAAATTGGGGTTCTTCGAAAAAGTCATCGTCGTCCTCTTCCTCTTCCTCCGGCGATAGGCTCGGCAGCGGCGGCGGCGGTGGCTCTTTGAAAAAATCATCATCGTCCTCTTCCTCTTCCTCCGGCGATAGGCTCGGCAGCGGCAGCGGCGGTGGCGTTGGCGGTAATGGGCGGCGGTCCCTTCGACTTTTGTGTTGGTGTTGACGTCGTCTGTGACTTTGTTCGAGCAATTTCTGAAAATCAATCCGTAATCTCTCTACGGATTTCTCCAATCGCTCTAACCGTCTTGTTTCGGACATCATGATTTTCACAAAGTTTTGATGTGATCTCAACTTTGCTCCAGCGTAGCTTTGATGTAATCGCTGCCTTGCTAACGAAGCGTTGGTGTTAATCGCAACTTCGCTCTGATACCAATTGATGCGATCTCTCGAGTATCATAAATATTTCCTACGAAACGTAAGATCTATTCTTTAATATTTCTCTCTTCATTATAAAACCCTAGCACAATACGACTATTTAAAGAGAATAAAACCCTAGAATCCTAATCTAACTAGGAAAGATAATTACCTAAACTAATAAAATACTTAATATCTATCTTATAATCATTAAGCCTACGGCTCTAACTAAATTAATACTTAAATAATATATATTAAATAATTAAATAATAACTAATGAATAAATATACGATATATTAAATATATATCGTATCATCGTGACTATCAAAATTCAATTAATTCAGCGAGACGTTAAATTACCAAACTAATCATTTAAACGGGATTATTAATTTATCGAGTTGAAACCCAAAAAAGATTTAACGGATAAGACCTTCAAAAAAGCCCAATTTGCAAACACAGCCCAATAATATTTCCTTTTTCCATTTATTTATTTTATCAGACCAGTAGAGTAATCATAGCCGTACATCTCAGAAAGGCTAAAGAAAAATGGCGGGAAACCGATGGTACTAGTTTCATTTCAGTGGGAGAAGAAAAACCCAGGAACGAGCGAGAACTCTGCCTGCGCGCGTAAAATCCATGGAAAAATATTTAGCACCTGTAAATCCACTCACCGAGAAACTCAAATCCGTAAAAAGGTAATCAACCGAAACCCTAAATTGAAAATTTCCTTTTTGCTTGTTTATAGGTTATAATTTAACAAGGCAGTGGAATTTCTGCAGGCGTCCATGGAAGAGAAGTCTCGTCGAATTAAACGGAAAATTCGAGCCGACTTATCGGCACTATTTGTCCAGTCTCATAGTTCAATCATATTCCGAGGTTAGTATCAAATTTGTTTTGCTGTTAATTATGTAAATTAGTGAAAATTCACTGTTGTGATTGCGCCTAATTAATTTTACCTTTATTATGTGTACTAAAAAGGTTGGAGTGTTTCCTCATAGATATCATGTCAATGGACAACCATGCCAGACCCACGTATGAAATTCTTATTGACATATCCCTTTTTGTTTTCTTTTTTTCTTTTTTGGAATTTTATATGTTATGATTATTGATGAAATTAATTATTTACCGAGTTGTGTCTTTTCGACAGGTTGATTGGTTTATCCACCACGGATTGAACGATAGCCCGAGTACAGCTAGAGGGTTGGTTTTCCTTTCTTATTCAATGCTTCTCCGTTTATATGTACACACATATTTTTTCTGAAAATATGTTTTATTTGATTTACACCCTTTTGAGCTGAGGTGTATGCATCTCACTCTGATTTTATTTTTCTGGGTTTTTTTTCAGCCAGGGTGTCTCATCACTTGAATTTGACTCCAAGGTGACGGGAAATTGCTTATTGGTTGATTTATTTTTAAATAACTGGTTTGTAAATTAGCATTTTCTCTTAGTTAGCTATGCTAAATAGCAATTTGGTTAGTGAATTTATTGAAGAACTAGGAAATCATTGTCTCACATAATTTAACTATTAAAATGCTTGTTAAAGATAGTGTAGGATAGACGAGCGATTCATAAAGAAGAGTAAGTTATTTGAAGGAAATGAGGCCTTATTCTCTTCTAGCCCTTTAGCTTTTTAGTTTGCTCACTTCATGTTGTAGTGTAGAAAAAAATAAATATAAAAATAAAGAGACAACATACTTGATAACAGGCAGAGCTGTGGTTAACAACAGATAAACCCTTAAGTGCGGATCTGAACAAATTTAATGGAGTAAGAATTATTCTACGGTTGATTCATTAGTTGACTGCTGTTTATTAATGTTTCTTCGATGTTTTAAATTTCTTCAGTTGCATCATTTCAGATTATACTAACTAGGTCATGACTAGTTGTTGCATTAAGGATAAGGGTTTGGTATTGTTGAGATACGTAGTATATTACTAAGAAGGTAATCAATCATCTCCTTGGCGGCACTGAAATTGCTTCTAATCAAAACTAGCTAAAAAGTAGTCATAGAAATATTTTTTAAAACTGGAATTAGTTTGCTGTTTCTCTGAGGTTGATGTAGTGGAAGCATAAAAATTCATGGCGTGCATCACATTGTTTTCTGATTACGATAGATGGTTTCTATGTATTTTTAGTCGACACTATTGGAGAAGTCATTTATTTATGTATTATTGCTTGTTTTCGTAGGGTGTGTACTTGGCATCAGTAACAAAATCAGGGTGCTTAACTGTGCATGACTTTGATAATATTCAATGCCCAGGTAATGAATCATATCAATTAGAATTTTGCTTCGTTTTCTTTTCTCTGTATTTTTTAGCAAAGTTTTGCTGATCATTTGGTGCAGAAAGATACGACTGTTATAGAAGGATACTATAATGGTTGAGTGCATTTTCTTTTACACTTAGAATGGCAAACATTTCCAACATGAATCAACAATTGTAATTGTACATAAAAATTGGATCAGTCGGAGTACATACAAATTCATCTTGAGACACGGTGATGCAGTATTACTGTATGGATCTTTTGTTGTTTGACCCTTTAATTAGACGTGTAAGAAGTTTACTACTATCTAGCCTCAGCTTCTATGCTTAAACATGTTGTGACTTGTGGGTTGGGGCACTTTATTCCATTCAGAAATTGGAATATCTGTTTGTTTGTTTGTTTGTTTTATTTTTATTTTTTTCATGTAGAAAGTTTGCTACCAGTATCCATATTCATGTAGTCCATATGGAAAAATAGCAAAGAAATAAAACTTTCACTTTGCTTTCTAGTTTCTTGTGGTGCTACAAATATCAACGAGTCTAACTATCAGCATGGAATTTGATTGGGTATCCGTTAAATATATTAGTCTATAGTTTAGAAGAATGTTATGTAAGAGTTTTAAGTTTTTTTCTCGTAATTTCAATATTCTCCGTTATCTCACTGTGATATGGTTATTTACCATCATGGCACCAAAGGAGCTATAATATTGTTCATATACTAATTCTTTTGAATGGTTATATACCCTTTAGATTTTAAAGAAGATGAAACAAAGCAGTTACTGCACATATCTACGGGCCAACAACTCGACGTCATTCGGTGGAACCTCGCCAATCAAGATGAGGTCTGAATTTTTCTTCATTGTGAATGTCATTTTTAATAAAGTGCTTGGCATTTTGCAGCCTACTTTGTTAGATCGTTTTATGTATGATGTTGTGTTGCCGCTTGACACTTTATTCATGAGCTTCATTTACCTAATTTACTATTTGAAGAAAGAGTACCACGTTCAAACCATTTATTATCTTATCGATAATTGCTAACTGTCTAACATTTTTATTCCTTGTTGCTTCACATTTTAACTTGTTATTGTTTTTTTCATCACAGATTGCATGTACTGCAATGAAAAGCAGTCAAGTTCATATTTTTGACATTGGCTATATCTCATCTGAACCGGTTGAAGTGAGTAATTTAAATTTTTCTACTTTCTTCAGTAAAAATCCGTATATACACAGCAAATTGTAATCCGATTTGCATATTTTGCATTAAGTTACTGAAGGACTGTGCTTGTCTATGAAACAGTTTTAGCAAGGTCCCTATCCTCTGTTTTAGTGCACTATGACTTTTAATCAGATACAATGTTAGTATATTTCCGGAGTTGCATCTTGGCTTAAACTCAATTTTGTTTCATTAGTGTAGATGTGGGTCAAATATTAAAGGTAAAGAATATCCATTTAGTATGAAACAAGAAATCATTGAAATGAATGCCAAAATAGTTACTACTCTTTTACATGTTAACCCTTCAATATGGAGCACATATATATGAATTAATTTGAGAAGCCGTATATTAGTCCGTTATATTACGTATTGGAAATCTTTCATTTTCATTTTATGTTGCCTTCTTCCAAGTAGATATACAACCATTCTACGTGATAAACTTTTCGTGTTCTTGTACTTCACTGCAGGTGCTCAGGAAGAGACCCAACATCACTGTTCATGGGATCAATGTTCACAGAGGCTTTTCTGACATTGCCTTTTCTTCTGATGACAATTCAAGGTTTATTACAAGAGTCAATTTTCTTTGGATTTTTTTTATTTTCACATTTTTTTTTGTTGAAAGGCCATGCTGTATAGTGTATACGTTGAATCTAGAACACGAGACATTTAACTCTAAATTCTACAGATATGAGGAAGTTTCGAGATTTCAAAAAGAAATACCAAAGAAAGAAAGTAATGGGACAAAACCTTCACCTAATGGAAGAAAGGAATATTAATAAAACAGTAAGGTCATAGACCTTTCACAACGTGGTATTTAGTAACACAGATATTGAATAAAAGATGCTTAAAAAAGTCGAAAGTTTAACTGTTGTAGATTTTGATATTTGTTTTCTAACAGTTGTTTCTTTCTTAATTTGTTAATGTTGGTGGAGCTTCTCATTTTCTTTCTGTGCTTCTTCTTGATCCTGCCTTAATAGGTTACTCGCTTCTGATACTAATGGTGTAATTAATGTGTGGGATAGAAGAGTTGGTGATCTCCCGTGTTTGGAACTCACAACAAATTCTCCTTGCTCACTTAATAGCATCAAATTAAGTAGGGATAATGAGGTAATTCTTAATCAAATCATGTTGCTTGAAAACAAAATAAGAAAAGTTTCTAACCATCTACATCAATAGCGATGGACCTTTTGTCTCATATTTTTCTGTTGAACAAGTAGATTGTTTACGGAGCTAGCAAGCAGGGAAATATATTTATGTGGGACATACGTGGAGGAAGATCATATACTGCTTTCAGAAACCATAAAGAGGTATTAATACTTCAGTGTTTCTTCCCACTGATTTAGCCGAATTGTCTAATGAAAGGTGGAAATCAGCACTAAGTTTCAACTAAATAAGATTCACATTTAAATTGTATGTGATGAACATGAATTCTAAACCATCATGTATGAGACTGTCTGGATTGACTTTTCATAAGAAGAAAGAGATTTTAACATAATTTTTTTTCTAGCAAAATTCAGTTATTTGTAAATGTTAGTAAGTTTGTAAATTTGAAATTCAATAATGCTACAAATACATCTTGCGTAGATAATTTTCTATAAGAGTTGTATAATATTACGATGAAATGTAGAAATTCTTAACTCTAGGAGACGTCCTACTTAGCAATCAAATCAATTGTTTTTAATATTTAGTAACAGGAAAAGCATAATGGGACAGTAAAAAATGAGATATAGACAATCGTTATGAGGTGGAGAGAGTTCTATCTTCTTCTACAAAGCATTTATTGTTACTCATTATGAAATATTAGGCCATTAGCTATGACATGAACTTCACTTATTCAGGAATCCTTTTCTCCCTTGGCATCGGTGAAGTTGGCACATGAGTTTGAGAAAATATCTTCCTTAAAGGTATGCAATCCTATCTCTTAATTTGCTGGCCAGTCTCTTAATTTGCTGTTTATACTGAACATGGCATAGTTTTTTTTACAGTTTTCTACGTTCTTTACTCATTTTTATATTTTATACATCTAGTTACATTAGTTACGTATCTTTTATATATTCGAGAGGTGTGTAACGGTAGCATAGTTTGATGTCGGGGATGTGCTTTTTTGCGTGAAAGTTATATACAGAATTCCTATTTTTCTGTGATCTTGGTGGTCTGATGCATTTCATAACGGGAAGGATGTTCATTTGATAAGTAAGCTGTGAGAATTTCCAGTTTCGATCTTCATTAAATTTGTTCAAGTACGTGTCATTGCAATTTTAGAGTCTTTCCCACTGTCCTATTTACTTCATGTCTATTAGCACAACAATTCCATAAAATTGGAATTAATAAAGCTGATTTTTTATATATAAAAGTGTAACATTTCAAACCTGGTGCAGGTATGATCCCGGTACTTTCATATTAACAGATTATGTGTTCTAATATATAATTTATACGTAGCAATATTCTGCCATTTCAGTTCAGATTTTGACAAAATCCTTATTAAGTTACGGCAGTCACCACATTCAACATTCAATTTTTTTATGATTGTGCTACTTTTTATGATAATAAAATACTGATTTTTTTTCAGATGAATCGTGATCTACTCAAGGGTCATATTGCTTCTTCTAGACATTATTGGCCACAGTTGACTACATATACTCATTTTTCTGCAGGCACAATCAAATATAGTGTCAAAGGAAATACACTCAATTGACATTGATCCAACATGCCCTTACCAACTGGCGTTTCATCTTGATGACGGATGGTAAGTTCTTCATAATGGGCTTACAAATTTATGTTAGTACTGTTTCTCTGGTTTTTGTTATAAACATTATCGAAGGGAAGTGTGTTAAATTTTTCGAAACATAATTATATTTGCATATTCTAGTAATCTTTTTGTTCTAAAAAATTAGCAGCATTCAGGAATAGCTGCAACTTTCAATATATTTTAGTGTAGAAGACATTCTTTAGCTTCGTGTTTCTGATCGAAGAAAAATTACATTGTTTTTGGAATGACATGTCCATCTTTTCTTGCTTTGCAAATTGGTTCCAGGTCAGGTGTTCTGGACACCAACAAATTTCAAGTGACACACATTCATTGTCCTCCACCCCCGTGGTTGTAAGTACATTGAACTTTCCTAATTTTGACTGTCATTTGAATATTAATCATTAAACATTTCTGACTGTTGTCAACTTACTCTTCGTGTTAATTTGAGGAATTAGGGATGAGCCCAATGATTTGGCGAATCTCTCATACGCGAAAAAGCCATGTTGGCTACCTATGAACTCGGTAAGTCATTAAATCAATACGTTTGATTTCTTTTGAGACAAGCAATCTACTAATTCCCAGGAGGAGAACGAAAAAACAACATAGAATAAATTAGAGATGTAGACATTTAGAATGTCTATGGATGCTTTAGAGTTGGTAATCTACTGAATACTGATAATTTCAAGAACCAAATACAATAAGTTATTACGATTTTATTTTTCAAATTGAACTTTTTCTTTTGCATTCAAGATTTGTCTGATTCAAAAGAGTCTATAGAATCTCGTTACAGTGCCTTTTCCTTTTCACTTCCATCTTAGCTTCATAACGTTATAAACAAGTAATCACTTCAAGGAATGTTCAAATAAAAACATTCATCAAGCAAGCGTTAGGTTTGAAGATCCTCTCCTCGTGGATTCTATTTGTAGATTTATTGTATAATTTATTTTTGAGCTTATGTGCAGATTTACGTTGTTGGATCGTCTTCCAGCAATGGCATTTATCTTTTGGATTTCTACCCAGACTCTACCTCCCATTGTCACGTCGATTACAAGTAAGTTTTTTTTTCAGGACTTCATCAGTTATTCAGGTATTTGTGTTGTCAGATTGTATTTAGTTGAGGCTTTGTAACAAATTTGCTTATTTAAATCTAGTTTAATGTTATTTAGCAGTACATTTTGTCATTTAACGCTACTGCTAATTTTCAAATTTCTTGCTTCTAGCGAGGATATACAGAGCACTGACAAAGCAATCAGCCCGCACAGGCAACAAAACAGATTTTTGTCGTTGTCTGAAAGTGTTACTGCATGTGTAGCTCACCCTCTCAACGGTACCATTGTGGCTGGAACTAAGGTATGTATGTATGTATGTATGTATATATATGCTCACTTTGATTTGTTTGAAATTACTGCTTTTCGGCTATCTTATATTCAAATGTGCACATTAGTTTAAAACGGGTATCGTCTAACTAATAAATTTCTCATGGAAAGCCTATTCTTCAGTACTTGGAACCTTGGTTATTAAAATTCATTTACAAGATATAGATTACATGTTAAATGTTGTTTATTAGCAATCCTTAAGTGATTGAATCATACATGTTGCTATTATATTATGAATTATCGTGTTCGAAAATCCTGCCATTTTATTGTTCGTAAGTCCTGTAAAGATTAATCAATTGTAAAATTATATCATGTAAAATTAACAAAAAAATATCGGGAATTATGTTTTGCATCACACCCCGTTATGCTGCTCGATCCCATTTCCATACCCGGATATGTAATTCTTTGAAGTTTGACTGTTCCAGCTGTCATCACTGCTTGTCGTTTCCCAGTCGAAAATGCTGTGCTGATCTGCAGATGTTCATCCATTTTATACGATAACTACAGATCCATGGCACCTCAATTTTCATCCGAGCCATTATATATATATATATATATATATATATATATATAGGAGGAGGTGTTCAAGGTAAATTTTAAAGTCATGAAATGTAATTTTGCACGTATGCGCACATACATATGGATGCACATGTGCAAAAGCGGGTAATTACCTATGCGTGTATAGTGAGATCTTATTTTACCCGGTAAGGTTCACCGTGTGTAGCATCTAACAAACTGTCATTCGCTTGTGTGAGTAATGTTTTCTTGCAGCAAGAAAACAAGATACAAAAAGTGGCGTTGTTGCATAGTTCCAAGTTCAATTAGCCGACAATGATATTTTTATATATATATATATATATATATATATATATATATATATATATATATATATATATATATATATATATATATATATATATATTGAATATGATTTGATGGAACATTTGGAAAATGAAGAAATTGTTATATTTTTTTCAAAGTTTTTGGCAGACAGGAAATATACGCAGAATCTTTGATGATCTCATACGTTTTTCCACATCAACTCCACCCTTGTCAAAATTACCACTACCAATTTTTTTTTTTTTATTTTTTTAAATAATTAACTTGAAAACCACCACATTATTAATTTGGTAATGTTCGAGAAAGACATCTTATCGTCCAATAATAAATAAATAAATAAAATGTGAAAGTGAGCATAATTGAATGTTTTCTATTGGTATATTCTAGTGTTTATATTTCACTGTCTGAAAGAATTTTATTTAGCTAGAAAATTTAGGACGCCATCTCTGTTGGTGTGGTGTGATAATATCTGACTTCACATTTTGGATTTGGCATTAGTTGACTTTAACATGAGGGTTTGAATAGTCATACTGAAATAAATTTTACGGGACTAATTTTACGAGTAGCGTTTAATCAAAAAATTGTTCTCTCTCTTAAACTCTCGAACTCCCAAATCTCACATACACGCCCGGGATGGGCGTGAAAATAATATGTTAGTGTTAGCTTAAAATAATAAGAAGGAAAGAAAGAAATAAATAAAGGAGTTGTGAAATGATTATTTGTAACAAATATTCCTAGTAAACATGTATGGGCTGCATTGCTTAATTAAGTTATGCTCTCTCATCTTTTAATTAGGGATTTAAACAAAGTTTGGTCTCCACATTCATAATTTTGTTGCATGCAGTAATTAATAATTATCATGTAATAAAATTGTGCGTAAGTAAAAAAACAACAGATCCTCGTCTGATAAGTTTGATTGAACTTGATATGTTATTGATCGAGACCAATATTCTATTAGGTCAACTGGTTTGAAGTCTGATACAACAATTTGTTTGATGTGATTTCAAAGATAGGATCTTGAATTAAAAAAATTATCATTTTTCGATCTATGAACAGATGAATATGTACATTGTATGATATCCATTGCAATATAAACAAATATTTTGAATTGTTATCTAATCTTTTATAAATAACTCTACATTTTTTTTATAGAATTAACAGATTGAGAATTTTCTATGAATTTTAAATTAATTGCTTAATTTGTGAGCAACATAATCCTGATTAGTCTTGCACAAGTTTTGTGCATTACTATTGACACTGTTAATCATGAAGCTCTTGTAATTAATTACAAAGTCAAATAGTATTACAACTAATTGTCAATATTTTAGTCTAAACATTGTAATTGTTTTAGATGCAGGCTTATGAAATATAATAATGGCAAATTACAGCCACCCATGAGGTAATTAGCTTAAATTACAGGGAAAAAAAAACTCATCTTGTTTGGATAATTACAATCACCCTTCTCAATTATGTATTGTTTTACGAAAAAAAACCCTTCATTCATTAGACAAATTGAGACTGTAAGGGTTGACGTGTAAGACAATACATAGTTGGGGTGACCGTAATTTGCTAAGTATAACAGTGGAAATAATTACCCAATGTTTTTTCAGCTTTTAGCCTTAAATCTAGGGTAAATTACAACCACCTCCCTGAGTTAAAGAGTAATTACAAAAAAAACCATTTTTTTTGAGAAATTACATCCAACCCCTGAAGTTTGTAAATTTCTTATATCCACCCCTACTATAATGTAAGATATATACTATTTGCAAGGAGTTGGATGTAATTATGAAAAAAAGGGCTTTTGTAAATAAACCTTACCTCATGAGGGTGATTGTAATTTATTCGAAATTTAGGATAAATTACAACTACCTCCCCTAAGGTAAAGAGTAATTATTTTCTATGACTGTATCTTCTAATTTTACTTTAAAATCTATTTTAAGACAAACTTGAAGCAGAATCTTTATCCTGATCTTTTATGATGTCAAACCATATTATATTTTTCTTTTTTAAAAAAAATTAAGGAAGACAAAGCTTAGAATATTAGTGGAGTTTAATGTTGCATAACAATTGTTTAATATAATATGACCAAGAAACAAGCTAAGTGACAAGTGATGCAGTCCATCTCTTCTAAATCATAATATAAAAAACTTATCCTTGATTAATTAATTAATTAATGACATTTTCCATCATTAATTAAACAATCTCTTAATTACTTCACCGCCCCACAAAATTTTTAGTAATTAATTTAATAGATTTTCTTAGGATTTGCTTTTCTTTTTGAATCTATTTTCTTAGGATTTGCTTTTCTTTTTTAACAAAAATACTATGAAAGTAATGCTTTTGTTTCATCATTCATGAGAATCATGCATAGGCAAGGTGATTTGAGGAAGCAAATGTGACTCGGTTATTGTAAGGTTTATTTACGAAAAAAGACCCCTCATTTTTTCCATAATTACGTCCATTCCTCTGCAATTTGTAGATCTATTATGTTAACACTCTTTGTAGGGGTGGATGTAAGAAATTTACAAACTGCAGGAGAGCTCAATGTAATTATGGAAAAAGATAACGAGAGGGGGGGAGGGGTTCGTGAATATATTTTTTCTCAGGGAGGTGGTTGTAATTTACCCTCTGAATTATCTAACCGTTAAAAGATGACATATATGTGATTTAGTAAATTATATGCAACTCTTTCTTAGATCAAATTACTATGCCATAAAGTTATATTTCTAAAACTATAGGAGTGATTAGCAATATTATATATTACATCCCTCCCTCTTGTTTCTAGTAATTGCAATTATCTCCCACATAACAATGAACATAATAATGAATTATATATGAATGACTCCATTACCTTTATTTGTTTATTTTCTTTTCTTTTTCTTTTTACTTTTTTTTTTATATATATGTAAAGAAATCATGAACAAGTTTTCGCATGCTAATGGATAAATGGGATTATTTTGTTGGCAATGTTTGTCACTTTCCTAATACATACAAAATAAATAAAAATTGCATGGCAACATATTTAGGACAAGGAGGCCCCTCAAAATGTGAAATATTGCTCAAAGTTCCCAATTATGTTGGAGCACTTTAATTAAGAATAATTTGATTATATTAATTAAAGATTATGGATAATACAATCAACCCACATGCTAAGTTTGTGTGACAATATTCCTCTAATTAAAGACAATTTTTAGGTGGGGCTGTAATTAGAACATGCAATTGGAATTCATTTTTCAAAATGAAAAGAAAAAACTTGAATTGTTTGTTAATAAGTAATAACCATAGTGAGTTCAAACCTGGCTCATAATTTTTTCCAGCTTAATAGAATGACTAAACTCAATCATATGTATTTTTTGGACTTAAATATATCTCGATTATAATTCTAATATATTTTTGTCATTAATTGGAGAAAGAAATACTCAATACTTAAATATGAACGAGTAGACTAATTTTACTTAATGCGCGATAATATAACAATTTTCATGCATGTAATCCATATTAAAATAAAAAGATGAAATCATATTGTACAGATTATGATAAAATAACTTATTAAAGTCTATAATATGTATAGAAAACTTAAAAACTAGTCTATTTATATATCATGAAAACCTTAATCCCCTTTTAAATCAGAGCAAATAATTGAAATCATTCAAATCAATGAAAATATATAATCGTGCGAGCCATCAGACTTCGAATAGGTCGGGCTCAATTAAGGATATGTAATGTGCCCTTGCATTTGCGGAATCAAGATTTTAAATCTTGAGAACGGGCGTTAATGCTATTATAAAGGATTTTATATATATATATTTTTAAATAAAATAATAAAGACTTGAGAAATATTAGGGGGTCATGGCTCCCGGTCCTATACCGACTCTGGCACTGTCCCTTTGTCTCTTTGAAGTTTGGAGCACTATAATTCAACTTTAAGAAAGCAGGTGAAATTGAAAGTAGTCTAGAAGCTTGTCTAAAAATATTTGAAGAATAATTAATATAATAACTAATTATTTTCCAATATGGAGGTTATTTTAATTTTACTAGTTATGGTAACAAAATTGAGCCCCCATAAATATTTGCTTTTTGTTTCACTTTTATAATTTCGTGGGATACCAATCAAGTCATATTATTTTTTTGGTGGGGACTTGAAAATTTGTCGTTAAAAGGCGGTTCACAAGGTACAAATTTTCAATTTCACCATAGATATTTCAGAGAACGTTATAGTTTCATCCCTCAAGTCTGTACCAATTTTAGATTTGGTCCTTCATGTTTAGAAAAAACACATTTGATCCCTCATGTTTCAACAATTTAATATTTTTGTCGAAAAAATACAGTTTTCGTCCCTTATGTTTGCACCGATTTCATATTTGGTCCCCCATATTCACAAAAATCACATTTTGTCCCGCAAGTTTCAATAATTTAGCATTTTTGGTCATTTCCGTCAATTTACCTATTAGTCCTTCAATTAAGGCAGTGATGGACAAACACTTGATTTCGTTAGTTTTAACGGAAAATTGACGGAAATGAATAGAAGTGTTGAATTATTGAAACATGAGGGACCAAATGTGTTTTTTGTGAACATGGGACCAAATGGGAAATTGATGCAAACTCGAGGGACGAAAACTGTATTTTTGCCATTTTTTGTCACTTCCGTCAATTTACTGTTAAAGGGCGAAAAGTGTAATTTTCCCTCATGTAATTATGAACAAGGGGACCAAATAAGAAATTAATGTAAACTTAAAGGGCGAAAAGTGTAATTTTCCCAGATATTTCATATTCTCTTTTCTTTTGTTTTTTCAAGGGGTCGGATTTGGAGAAAAAAGAAAGAAAAAAAATTAAAGCGAAGGGTCATTATTGTAATAAAGCGTCCTCAACTGTCTGCTGCTGGGTTAGTTAACCACATCATTTCAGTTGGCTATCTTTTTTCATTTCAGTTGGCTATCTTTTATTCATTTCAAAAGTAATTAAATTAAATTAAATAAAACAAAGTGCAACAATAAATATAATTGTAGAGTCGCTGTCCCACGCGTGATAGACAATATTAAATAAAATCTCAAAATTAATCAATTCCGACAAAAAGATGATCTAACAGCTGAAGTAAGAAAATGTGGTGTCATTTGATTCGAATTAAAACTCTCGTGTAAATATTTTTAGGTCTACCATACCTTATTAGGGGCGAAACCAAGATTTTTTTTGTCGGCGAGGCCGAGAACCTGAGAGGGGTTTGGGGTGGATTTGTATTTTACACCAAAAACTAACGGACCACTAACGAAAAAATGGATGGAGGGGGTGTATATGCCGATGGGTTAAAATATTTAGGGTGTGCTTTCCAAAATATCGAAGTTCAGGGGGGTGAATGCAAATTAACCTTAATTAAACTATCAGTCAAATCAATAAAGCACTCGGTGTTAAAGGGAATCACCTGAGTCTTAATCTATTAGATCATACAAAATTTTCATGAATTTTCAAAGACGAAGACATTTGAGAGAGAGAGAGAGAGAGAGAGAGAGAGTGGGGCATCCTTTAGGTAGCTGATTTATTACTACACAATTATCAAATCAAAAATTAATCTAAGAACGTGCAAAGTTGACAAGGATATATATGCATTTGAATTTGAGAATTTATATAAAAAAAAAAAAAAGAATTTGTAGTTATTTTGAATTTCAAAAGTGGGTAGTGTGATTTCGATTAATTTATATATTAAACTTGTGCCATATATCTATTTATAGAAGAAGAAGAAGAAAAAAAAAATGAGAATAGAAAATCCCCTTTGATCTGTGGTAGGACCCATAAAAGATTTTGCACTCTCTATATATTTAAGTATAAAACCTCTCTGTTTCTTCACATATGTATGCCTTTTTTTACAGGAATATTGCTTTTTTTAAGGTAGTGAAAAAAAGAAGAAACATGTTGTTGAAGTGAGCTAGTAACCTCAAAAGCAGACATACTTATATAATGACAACAAAATATAGTGTGTTAAGGATTCATGAACAAACCTAGCTAGTGGGCTACTTACATATATATACCAATACCATATACTTATACTTAGAGAGAGAGAGAGAGAGAGAGAGAGAGAGATTTGTCATTAGTTTGTTGTCATTAGTTTGTAGGTATATATATATATATATATAAGGGATGAAGGATAGTAGTAGAAAACAAGGGGCGGCGTCCCCGTGCGCAGAGTGCAAGATTCTGCGGCGGCGGTGCGCGGCGGATAGAGTCTTTGCACCTTATTTCCCGGCAGACGACCCGCACAAGTTTGCCAGTGTCCATAAGGTCTTTGGCGCTAGCAATGTCAACAAGATGCTCCAGGTTTTAATATAATTCTCTCTCTCTCTCTCTCTCTCTCTCTCTCTCTCTCTCTCTCTCTCTCTCTCTCTCTCTCTCTCTCTCTCACACACACACACACAC